CCCCGCCTTCTTTTTGATTAATCAATTCCTTATTTGCCAGATTCCTTTGAGTTTTCACAAATGGCCTCGGGTTCTCCCGGACCTGACATGCCTGTTCTCTAGATGGACAAGACGTGACTGCTGTTAACCCGGGATCTGGGAGAAACCCAAACCATGTGAACGGTCCTCGCTTGCCCCACGGCCCCTCTTCCTGCGCCGGCCCTGTGGACCAGCCTGCCTCGCCCGCGCCCGGTGATTAATTAGCTGGGGATCTGCAACAACTCCTCTTCATGCCTAAATATTTTTTCAGCCTATCAGACTGTTAGTGCAGAGCAGGATAAATGACACTGGGTCTGCCGCACTGACCTTCAGGGCCTGCTGCTCATCCAGGCTCCAGACAGCCAGCGCCTTCTCCGCAGAGCCCGAGACGCCCCTGGCCTTCTGGGAGTCAAAGTCAAGGGCCATGACAGGCTCCGGGTGGCAGGTCATGCGGCTGCACACCTTCCTCTCTGAGACATCCCACAGGGCCACAGAGCCATCCTCATAGCCGGCCAGCAGGCATGGGCGAGAGCTGGAGTCAGCTTGCTGGGAAGAAGAATGGGCAGACACTCAGCATGTGGCCAAGCTAGAAAGACCCAGGAAGACTTCACCCTTGGACAAGCATCTCTCTCAGTGCACTACCCTCTGAGAAGCCCCTCACCACCAGCCCCCGCCTCCACTCAGGGGCACAGAGGCTGAAGGAGGAGCATGACTTTGAGGGCCTGGCACGGGCTACCCTCTCAGCCCTGTCCCACAGCCTGGAGATTCACAGCCCCTTCTGGCTTGGCCAGTCATCTGTCTAGAACAGCCAGGCTGAGGAAAAATCGTGAGCTCTATTGTCATGAAAAATGGCATTTCTGTGCTTTGTCAATGTCGCCACAGCAGCCCCCCAGCACCCCTGCAAGCCGCCACAGCGCTGACGGGTGTGCACTGTGTTCCAGCCAGCCCTGAGCTATTGTGATGGATGAGGGTCGGGGTCAGAGGGCCCGGCACCCCGGGCAGACACCTCATCCATTTTAGGCTCTGAAACCACTCCAGGACACAGCAGCACAGCCATGATCACCCCCACCTGAGCACCCTGTGTTCAGTGCTTGCTCCTCGGGGGGTGTCAAGGAAGCCTCAGGGACTGGCCAGGACAGACACAGGTTACCTCCTGGACGGGAACATGTGGTGCCAATGGCCCCTCGTGCTCTCTCCTGCTTCTCTGGTGTCACAGGTTTCAGGGCTGTTCATGCACATTCCCCACCTCCCAGAGTCCCGGGAGCCTTGGTCCCTCTGGATCCTGCAGGACCCTGTCCCGAACCTCTGGCAGGCAGCGGTCAGCACTGGAGCCTGGGGGCAGGCAATGTCATCCATCATCCGAGTCCACACCCCTGCTCTCCTGCTGGCTGGTCCCTGGGTGAGGCCAGGGCTGGGAACAGAGCTTCCCTGGATGCAGACCAAGAACACACTAGTGTCCACTCCCACCTGCTGCTAACAGGGTTCTTGCTAATTAGGGTGTGGAGCACCCCTTTCCATCCACGCTGAAGTCTGTGGGCCCAGACAGAGTGCCTCTCCTGGCGTTGCAAAATGTGCTGGAAGAAACCCTAGTTGCTGGGTGAGGTGGTCCGCATGAAACTGAAGGCTGGGGTGTTATAGCTAAGGGGAGCTCGAGTAGGGCCCTCAAACAGCCCAAGGAAGTCAGGCTAGGGGGCACGATGAGGGCATGGGGGCTCAGCTAGTAATGAGTCAAACCAACTTTGGTGAAGACGGGATGGTCCCCTGAGACTCAAACATGAGGGCAGAGCTGCTACAAGAGTAAGGTTTCTCGAATCCAAAAACCCCCTGCTGTGGAAGTGATCTGACCCAGTGATTCCAGAGGGCAGTGCAGAACTGCCCCTATGAGCTTTCTGAGACGGTCAGTCTTCACAGGAGTAGACAGCCTCACCTTTCTCCCTTGGTGCTGCTGGTGGTTTAGAACTATTGACCTTGCAGTTGGCAGCTCTGTGAATAACCACTGTACCACCAGGGCTCCTTGAAGACTCAGATTCTCAGAATACATCTGGGGTGAGGGGTAGGGGGGAGTGTGGGTGTGGATGCACACGCATCTCTCTGGGCATCCCTTCTCAGAGGCTTGTCCTCTGTGGAGTAACCACTGCCCCAGGGTCTCCTCTGGGAGCTTCCAGTGGCAGGGGCTGTGATTTCCAGCATGGAGATGGGTCCATCTGTGGTTTACTATACAGGAAGCACTCTATCTGGGACAGGAATCCTGAGGGGCTGTGCCCTTCAGACCCAGTGCACTGGCCACTTAAGTATAAGTCACACAGGAGAACAGAGCTCTCCTCAGTGACATGGTGTAGGGGCCCTAGGTGAGGTCAGGCAACCACACAAGGGAGCCTGAGTCTGCCCCCCACCGCCACTCCCCAGCTTCTCTCCCAGGATGCAGTGTCCCTCCAGGCTCTAAGTGAGGGCCACTAGACAGGGCAGTGCTCTGTGGCTGAGAGGTCCTTTGAGGCTCTGCATCACCAATGTCTCCTCTTAATTGCCTACTCCTCTTCGACAGCTCCACGCAAGATGCTCCCCACCCCATCATGCACAGACCCAAAGAATCCGTGCCCTGTCCTGGGAGCTAGTGCCGGCAACTGTGTGAAGCTGCTCTCCAACCCGTGGTTTCCTCCCTCTCAGAATAAAATGGGATCAACTGTTTTGGAAACAAAATGAAAATAAACCCAAGTGTCTACAAGGGAAAAAACCAGTCTCGGTCACTCTGTCACTACTACTCAGGTACAGAAGCGAGGTGGGGCTTCAAAACGCTGATGGGGAAGCGGAACAGGAGGAGTGGGGTGTCCCCACAAAGCTACCATAGCCCCCCGTGTAGGGCATGTACCTCCTGAGCTGGGGAGAAAAAGCAGCATTTCAAATGAGTGTGGCCTTTCCTGAGCAGAACGTGCCGTTGGAGCCATGTCAACTAACAAAACGTGATTTGTCCTTCTGTCAACTGTATTAATTACCCTGACAAGTTTGTACATCCCGTTTCTACACATTTTTCTGTTGGAATTCTTACATGATTGTGCAATGGACAGCCTTTCCCAGAGAGCAGCACTCGGCACTCAGAGCGGCTTCCTGCCCCGTGCTCTCTCCAACAAAGCATCCCCACTTCCTGGAAGTGACTGGAGGCCTGGCATCCAAGGCCTGGCCCTAGCAGCAGACCTACTATTGCAGGAGCTGCGTTTCGACAGCCAGTGGCCCTCGGATGCCCCAGCCTCCTTGAAGGCACTACTTCCTCAGACCACCTGACCAGCACCCCTCGGGCTCTCGAGAGAGAACAGAGAGGAGCAGCAATGTCAGGAGAAGGCCGGCAGAGCCCTGTGGAGACAAAGCCCTCAGGGCAGAGTCCTGATCACCCTACAGAAGAGTCTTTTTGCCCACTGGCCATCTTCAAACTGCTCAAAGGAGAGCCCCAGCCAGGCCTGAGGCCAGCACTGGGTGGCTAAGAAACCCCTAGAGAACAGACGTAATGGGGGTGGGGGTGGGGTGGGGTGCAGTCTGTGCAGCAACCAGGTGTTCCCAACATGACAGCTGATCCGTGGTCTATTTCCAGGAGCCCACTAGCCCTGGAAAAGACATGGGTGGCTCAATTTCCTTCCCCATAATTTTCTCTAAGTGAACAAGCAAATCCTCTCCTCCTTTGCTACCCCAAACAGGAGTGGCCCCGAAGAGGGAGAGAGGCCCAGAGACCTCTAGGGGGGGAAGCTGTCTGTCTCCCCACTGTGGGCACACCCAGGACTGGGGCCGCTGGGTGAAGGTGGGTAGGTTCAAGAGAAGAGGCTCCCTCCCAGGCTGAGATCCATCCGAGCAGAATTGAGATCTGCCTCCTTCGGGGTATCCGCCTGGGCCCCTGGCTCCTGTGGAAGGCCCAGGAAACACCCTTGACCCTTCCCTCATCAGAAAGAACAGCTGAGGATGGAGGAGCGGACAGGCGGCAGGAAGGTTAACATGCTAAGCCCACTCTCATGTCAGAAAGGCAGTAATATCAGGGAATTCCCCAGAACAGCAGGA